CCTCCTCCTCCTCCTCCTCCTCCTCATCCACCCTCTCCTCGGCCCACTCCTCCTCGTCCCCCTCCTCTTGTGAACCTGGCCCGCTTCACTACGTCATTTTCGATGCTTCTCCCCTGTCTCCTCCGCCTCATCCCGCATTCCCCTGTCCCCGTTTTCCTTTTTCCCCCCAGTACGCGCGCCCGATTCGGCATCATTTGCAGGTGTTGCACTTCAGGGTGCCTTTCTTTGCGTCGCGCGGGACATTGTGCGGGTCGGGGAACGCCGACTTCGGTAGTCTTCTCTTGCACGCGCCGCTGCACAGATACGCCTGGCAACTGCGAGCTGTGAACCCGAGTTCCTTGCAGCCTCCGCACACCACTTTGGCTCCTTTCGTCTTTCGATGATGTTAACGGCCCCCAACAGGCTTCGAAACTGCCTCCAAGAGTCCCGCGAGAAGCCCCGCAAGAGATCCCAGCGACCACCGCACAAGCGGGATTCGCGCTCCCAAGGCTCAGAACCCATAATCCATGACCCAGATCATTTCCTCCGTGTCCCCCTCCTCCTCCTCCTCACCCGCCTTTTCCACCTCGGCCCCCCAGTGGATGCAAAACTGCTGTCCAGAGGCCCCCGAAAGGCGCGCCGCCAAATCCCGATACACATACAAGAACCTCTCACACATAGACCATAACCCAGAGCCTCATCTCAGTGTCCCCCTCCTCCTCCTCCTCCTCCTCCTCCACCCTCTCCTCGGCCCACTCCTCCTCGTCCCCCTCCTCTTGTGAACCTGGCCCGCTTCACTTCGTCATTTTCGATGCTTCTCCCCTGTCTCCTCCGCCCCATCCCGCATTCCCCTGTCCCCGTTTTCCTTTTTCCCCCCAGTACGCGCGCCCGATTCGGCATCATTTGCAGGTGTTGCACTTCAGGGTGCCTTTCTTTGCGTCGCGCGGGACATTGTGCGGGTCGGGGAACGCCGACTTCGGTAGTCTTCTCTTGCACGCGCCGCTGCACAGATACGCCTGGCAACTGCGAGCTGTGAACCCGAGTTCCTTGCAGCCTCCGCACACCACTTTGGCTCCTTTCGTCTTTCGATGATGTTCCACTTGGTTAGGCGTCAAATGTCTCGTGTCCGAGAACGTTCCTCCGCGCGCCGCGCACGTCAGCGGCTTCGCGTCCGCCTCGGCTTTCCGTTTCTTATTATTCGACTCGCGCGTCGCCCTATCTCGTTCTTCCGCGCATTTCCGACACAACCTCTCCCCTGCTGCTTTGTGCTTCTTCTGAGCTTCGGACACCCCCGCCTCCTCTTGGAACTCAGACAGGCAGTCGCTGTTCGAACACCGCAATGTGATCGCGCGTTTCCTGTTATTCGACACTAGCGTCGTCCTCTGACGTTCGGCGGCGCATTTCCGACACAACCTCTGGCCCGCTGCGTTCTGCTTCTTCTGAGCCTCCGACATATCCGCCTTTGCGTCATACAGCGACAGGCACTTACCGTTCGTACATCGCACCTTGCCGACGCACTCGACCCACTTCGCGTTGCCGCTCCGCGACTTCTGCTTGGCTTTGACATGGCTGCACTTCGCGCAATACATTGTCCGAACCCTTCTTGGCTCCCCGCCGCCGGCCGCTGCACCCCCACTCCGATCGTCACCGTGCCGCGTCGCATCTTCACCCTCCGCTCTCGTTGCCCACCCTCTGCACGTGGTGCGCCATTTCTCGTCGGCGTTCTTCATCTCTTCCGCGCACTCTTTGCAGAACGCTGGCCTTTCCTTCCTCTGGAACTCGTACTTCGAGAACGCCTCTACCAGCAACCTCCGCCGGCAGCGCTCGCACTGGTCTCTTGGCATCAACTCCGCCTCCCACTCATCCCAATCCACGCTCTCCCCTCGTAGTACCTGCAAAAGTTTCTTCGTGCCTGGCATCTCACCTGCGTTGTACGGCCTCCTGTCAAACGGCCGGAAAATCAGCAGATTCTCCCGTCTGCGCACGCGAGTGATGGCAACGTAACTTGACATCCAACTCACGCCGCGCCCTCTTTCAAGGTCCGCTATCACTGCTCCCATGGTCCGGCCCTGCGCGGAGTGCGCCGTTACTGCCAAAGCCGGGGTTATCATAAACTGGGTGCGTTTCACACTCAACACAGGGTGCTTCCGATACCCATCCAAGAACCATTGCCGACCATTCGAGGGGAAGATCGGATACAGCCCCGGCTCCCACCCGGGCAGGTGCCACTCCTTCGTATTGAAATCCAACACAATCATTTTCGGCATATGCGACAAGACCTCCTCGTCTTCATCTCCCACGACCTCGTCCTTGTGCAGGACCCATCCATGGATCGTGGCTGTACGCCCCCGCAGGAGCTGTTTCTTCGACCGATCCAAGTGATCCCCCAGAGCCACGGGCATCCCTTTGGCCAGCGGCAGCCACCCAGGCAAGCTTGCGCACTCCTTCTCGTGGTACCCCAGCCAACGTATCTTATCCTCCACCGTGTACGGCCGCCGCTGTTCTCCCCCATGGCAAGGGCGGTCCCTCGCTGCGACCCACAGCAGCTGTTCTCCTCGCTGCGTTGCCCATTGCACAGCTCTCTGCTTCCCCACGTGGCAACGAATGTCTTGGTTCGCATAAATGGCGACAGCATCAAGGAATTTCTCCTCCCGAAACCGCGCGTCTTCTGGCGATGTCGCAACGAGCTTTCTCTTTTCCCGCTCAGCTTTGCAAGCGTCACATTCGAGCTCGTTTTGCCTCGCAATTGCCTCTATGTCTTCGAGACAACGCGTGTTCCCGCACAACGGTGCACCGTTCACCCACGACCCCGGCACATCCGTCGGTCTGCCATGTAAAAAATTGTGCGTGCGTTCAGACAACGCCCCTCGGCGGAACTCGTCCTGCACTCCGAGAAACCAGTCGTCTTGATCCTCCACGCGCTTGCACTCCGTCAACTCTGTCATGCCCTGCACTGCTCCTTCGCCTCCAGCGCCCCAAAAGATATACTGCCCGTGGTCCTCCGTGGCACCTGGCGCGTACTGCCTCGCGTTTTTCAAATACGACGTGGGAAGCGCATTGATGGCCGTCCCCGATGGCGGCTCCAATTGATAGAAGTCCCCGCAGAACAGCACATTCACGCCCCCGAACGGCCTGGCCACGCCGTCTCCACCTACCCTCGTGTCGCTTGCAGCTGACATGCACGACCGCAAGTGTGAGTCAAGCTCTGCCATGAAGTTCGCGCTGACCATGCTCACCTCGTCTACAATCAGCCACTTCCACTGTGACATACGCTGCACCGCTTGCTCTTTCTTCGTTTTCTTCTTCGTCTCTGCGCTGGCATCGCCCGCCGCGTCCTTTTTCTCTTTCGTTTTGTTCACACCGAGCCCAAATGCACTGTGAATCGTATTCCCGTCGAGTGCTGACGCGTTTGTGGCCTGCAACGCTGCCACCTGGAAATCTATGCCGTGCGTCCACCCCAGCTCCTTTTCGAACAGCCCCTTCCGGATCTTGTCTACGACGAAGCTTTTCCCGGTCCCTGGGCCACCATGCAACATCCATACGAGGGGCTGCATATCAGAAAGACTCTGGTCTGTTTTCTTGCCGCTCGCGGTCCTCCCGAATTCTT